GGGGGCGGAGACAGTGAGACTGCAGGGGAAGGAGAGACAAACAGCACAGAGGATGTTTGGAAAAGCCACAAGGGAACATTTTTGAGACCGGTTCTGTGTATCCTTGGCTGTCTTTGAACTCACAGAGATCCGCCTGCCTCAGCCTCCTAGGTGCTGGGATTAAAGGCATGGCCACCCACCAGGCCCATCTTGGAAATATTACACACACACACACACACACACACACACACACACACACACCATCATCATCATCATCAGAATCCAATGGCTGTCTAATTGGACCTTGCTAGGTGTTTGGTACTGTAAACCTAGCCAAGGATCCACGGCCGGGGAGGCTACAGAACATAGAGAAGAACCTGCTATGGTCATTCTCCTAGCCCACGATAGTTCCTCTAACTGCATTCTAAATACTTATGCTAGAATCCACAAGTAAGTGTAGCTCTCATCCCTCAACAACAACAACAACAAAAACTTCTTTCTGTAAAAAGTGGGGGCTCCTACAGAGATCTTCAACTGGTCAAAATACAGAGACTAAGTGACTATGGGATGCTCAGCCCATAGTCATCTACAGCACATCCGACACCCCTAAACTTAGCTCAAAGAGCATTATGGCAAAGGGGACAGGAAGATTTAAGAGCCAGGGCAGCAGGATGCTATGTACCAGGCTTTTTCTTTTGGGTCACCAACCAGCTCCCAAATCATGACACGGAGACTTAATGTTACTTACGATGCTCAGCTTTATCTTATGCTTGTCCCAGCTCTCTCTTTTAACTTAAAGTATCCTGTTTCTTTCATCTAGGTTTCGCCTCAGAGCTTTTTATCTTTTGTTTTCTTTCTTTCTTTCTTTCTTTCTTTCTTTCTTTCTTTCTTTCTTTCTTTCTTTCTTTCTTTCTCTTTCTGTATGTTCTATTTCATGGCTGGCTACCGGTATTCTGGCCCCGGGTATGTACCCTTTTTTCCTCCCTCATTCTTCTCTCTCTCTCTCTCTCTCTCTCTCTCTCTCTCTCTCTCTCTCTCTCCCTCCCCCCCCCCCCCCCCCCTCCCTCCCCCTCCTTCCCTCCCTCTCTCCCTCCCTCTCTCCCTCTTTCCCTTTCTCCCTCTCTCTCTGTCCCTCCCTCTCTCTCCCCTAGATTTCTCTTCCTACTTATTCTCTCTGCTTGCCAACCGTGCCTATTCATCTCCTACCTAGCTACTGGCCATTCAGCTTTTCACTAGACCAATCAGGTGCCTCAGACAGGCACGGTGAAACAGCAACACATTTTACATAGTTAAACAAATGAAGCCTAAGCAAAAGCAACACATCTTTATATAATTAAAAAGGCAGCAGAGACAAATGTAGCACACCTTTCCACAGTTAAAGTGATATTCCACAGCACAAACAAATGCAACACAGCCTTACATGGTTAAATATTCTTAAACAATGCTACCTGTGAGACAGTGTCTTCTGACTTGACAGGGTTGTTAAACCCCTGAAATGTCAACAATATAGTTGCCAAAACAAGACCTGCACAATGACAACCCCAGTTGACATGACATGTAAATGGGGGGCATTTCATAGGCCTCCATCCTTAAAAGATGAGCTGCTTTGGGGGGCGGGGGGAAGAATCTGTTTTCTCCAAGGTCCTTGATATGTTATCTGTTCCTAAGAGGTCAGCCCCAAATACATGTACATACAAGCAACACTAAATGGACTCAGTAGGCTCTGTGTGCGTGTGTATGAGCACATGCATGCTTGTGCCTGCACGTGTGTTTGTATGAGCACATGCACGCTTGTGCCCGCACGTGTGTGTTTATATAACAGTAACTACAGGAGAGGAGGTCATGAGTTCAAGAGACGAGGTGGGAACAAGGGAGAAGTTGGAGGTGGAAGTGGGGAGGTGGAGATAATGTAAATATAGTACTCATGTGTTGGATGCTCAAAACCATGAAAATTTTAAACTGAGAAAAGAAAGAGGTTACTCAAGACAGTTCAGTAGGCGGGGCGTAACAGGAGAGCACTACTGTTCCAGAACATCGCGACTCTAGCTGTCCCTCTTCTCCCAGCTCCTGCCCTTGGTGCAGCGTAGCCCTGCCTCACTAGGATACACTGTGGTAAAGTAGGGAGGCACAAACGTGATGTTACAGTCTCTAGCCTCGAGGGACTCGGGGAGTACAGACAGTTACACTTGAACAGAAACTCAGCAGATGTTGCAAGGAATTCCCTAGGTTCGGAACTCTCCTGGGTGCCCCAGAAACAAGACACTCCATTAAAGCACGTTCTAAGACAGCACTTCCAAAGGAAGGCTACCAGATTGGAGCCTCTCAGCTGAGGAAAACTGCTCGCCGCAAGTGCGAAGGGTATCCGTGAGAACTGAGGAGACAGTCTCTGCCCTCCTTAAGGCAGACGTGCGTGGGGGCAATGCAGCCACTGTCCTTCAGAGTAACTTCCCAGAGTGCTTCCCTCCCATAGAATATCACGTTGTATTAGAGGGTGGACTTTTCACTTTTCCTTGGTACTAGTCGAGTCCTATGGGCTGAGCTGTTAGTGCGACAGTATGCTGCCCCCTCCTGTTCGTCTGCATTACTACACCCTGTTGTAAGGGGTTGGAGGAGGAACGGAGGGAGGGAAAAAGAAATAAACTGGACATGAGTTGAAACTGCCCAAAACATACAAATAGCTGTCATATAAACCATCAAATGTAATCCATTATTCTTTTTCCCTCCAAGAATAAAAATGGTAAATTTTGGTTAGGATAATAGCTAATAACGAGCACAATATTAGGTTCATTGCATACACTGCACCATTTGATTCTCCCAACGTCCTAAATAGTACTAGTTTCTTTGAGCTTGTATCCAATTCAAAGGATGAAGACATAAAATATCGCATCAGAGGAAAAAAAAAAGCCAATGGCTTTTTTAAAGACAGAGTTTTGTGTAGCTTTCCAGAAATCCCATTGGAATCCACAAAGGAGCGAGGACTGGGCATTTAGCAAACCGAAAGGGATGGGTTACGCCCTTTTGTCTATTAACTTTTCTGCGCCTGTGTAAAAGAACCACGACCAAGGCAACTGATAGGAGGACGGTAAACCAGACCCAGATGGTACCTCTGCGCTCTTTATCTGAGGTACATGTAAGGTTTTTAAATGGCAACCGAGGGGCTGAACAAATTCTCTTACAATTTGGAGTGGGCTAACAGCAGAAAATGAGGGTCAGTTCCAACCAAGAGTGGGAAAGGGGGCCGGTGGACCCACCATGACGCCAGTGGAGGGCCTGCTGGGCTGCGTTTTAAACACCAGTGTTACATAGACATAGGCGAAGCCCTGCTTTAGCTTCAAATCCTGGCACTCACCAAAATAGAGCTGGGTAGATTCTATATTATTTCTTATTATAAGTACGCCTACGTGCCTTCCTAAGCAAGTGTAAGTCTCTCCAGAGGAAGATTATATAATCTTCAACCTCAGTTTATCACCAGAAGCAGGAAATGCAGCAAAAGGTTGCTGCAGTGTGGCCCGAGGAATCTGGGGGTGGGCGAGGCTGCTGCTTGGTGCAGTCAACCTGCCCAGAACAAAGTTCAAGACTGAGTGGAGCAAACTTAGCAAGCTCACTGATTAAACAGGAAGAAAAGGTCTCCACAAAGAAAGCCAAGTATGGGTATTAGGAGAGGGAGCACCAAGTGTCTCGCTTGGCTTTGGGGCTGCATGCTTTGGGGCTGCAGCTAAGTGGAGATATTAGGGAAAGAAAGCCTGTTTCTTATCCTCGGTTTCAGCCTTGAAAGACTTTTACACACTGTGCTGGTTCCTAGGTGAAGAAGGGAGTTCTGGTGGACACAAAGAACTCAAAGGGGTTTAGCTATAAACAGGTCACAAGGAGGATAGAAAAAAGGCCAAGTTCACAAATCATTAACAGCCTTGCTTGGGAAGGGTGTCAGAAACAGGAGTACAGCAGTTTTGCAGCCTGGTCGGTCAGTTTTTGTCAGAATTCCTGGGCGTCACCCAGGGAGAAGCGGAAATTAGGCAAGGCAGGTGAGAGGACCCTTTGCTCTCGGGTGTTCCCGTTTCCTGAATATGCTGACCTGCAATGGTTTCCGTAATTTTTTAAATAGCATCCGGTGTATAACATACAAACATTAATCAAATATGTAAGGGGATAAGGCTATATGAACAAGAACAACAAAAACCAGCAGGAAACTAAACTACAGAACAGGGCTACAAGATCCCGGACACGGGAGCCCTCAGACACAGCCTCAAGGTCTAGTGTGAAGTAACCAACTCTCCCGAAATCCAGTGGGTTTTGTCTTGTAAACTCAGACACGACAGCACATGACTTAGTTCAAGCCTCACAGCTGAAGTCTGCGGTGCCGATCTGAGCTTGAGCAGACTGGCTCATACCTGTGACCAGCTGCGGAGGTCACGAGAGATCTCCTCGACATTCAGCTGGGTGGCAGTGTTCAGTCGAAGGACCCTCCACTGCAACTACTGGTCTCTGCTCCGCCTGGCTCCAATCCCCCCCCAAGGATGAGCCCAGGCTGTCACGTGATGTTCACAGGCAAGCCTCCCTCTGCTCGGGTGCTTTCTGGCTTGTTTGTGATCGGTTGGTGCCAGTTTCACCAAAGCATATGTAAGCAGGAGAGATGTGAGGGGAGAAGTCGCAAAGTTCTACCACAAAGGAGTATACGGAAGGGAGGAGGGGCATCTGTGATGATCTGTTCCACGTACCAGCCTCCCCAAGGGCTTCTACAGAGCTCTTGGAAACCTCTATGGGTGTCTCTCCCAGAAAGTCTCTCTGTCCAGAATGGTAAGTTGCTCCAAAGACAGTACATCCATCTTTAAAAGCGAAAGCTGCTTCCACCAGGTACCCACACAGGTGTTTCCACCAAGTGCCACGCCCCTGAGGGAAGATACCTGGGATTCCAGAACTGGGAGGTGCTATACCGACTAGGCCTGGCCTAGTCAACCAAGGCAGCTGCCACAAGAAAAGGCTAAGCTGATGGGCATGGAGAAGCATGTTCTGTGTCCACTTACCAGTCAGAAGAACGGTTTCATTGAGGTCTCATGTTGAAGTCTCAGAATGGCAGCCTGTGCGGATAGCATTGCAGCAGCCAGGCAAGTGAAGACTTATGTGTTTCACTGAAAAAAAAAAAAATGACTGATGATATTGCCACATAGCTTATGGAGGCATTTAGCTTAATAGATACATGGTTAATATTCAGTCATTAAAACATGACTCAACATGTATAAAATGTGCCAAGTTGTAGACCTGTAAACTGTATACAACTCTACCTACGTAAGTTACATTTTAAAAAATTCTTCTGGTGGTGTGGGAAGTCATTCTGTATATGTGATGCTTTTATTGGTTAATGAATAAAGAATCTGCTTTGGCCTGTGGTAGGACAGAATAGAGCTAGGTGGGGAAAACGAAACTGAATGCTGTTCTATACTGAGGGCTGACGAGCCAGCACGAGAGTCCTACAGTGGGCATGAGCTTGGTACCCCCGGCGTCCTGTGGTTGCTTTTAACAAGTCACCACACATGGAATATTAAGGGCAGACCCCGGTGTCTTACAATAGCACACCCTGATATCCGCTGCTCTCCGTCACCTCTCTGATAAAAGAATCCCTGCCCATAAACTCTACACCCATCTCCCACCAGACTCTATTCTCATTCCATAGTGCTTACAGCATGCTGATTTTGTAACTGTCATGTGGCCTCTCTTTAGCGAAGGGACTTGTGGTACCCGCGGAAATCTTGCTTTGCTAGTTCCCCGAAGCTGAGAACAGTACCAGTGGACTAACACTCAACAACGACTTTTAAGCAAACAAATCACAACTCAGCGTTCTTAGTCCACGAATGGGTGCAATGTCCTGGAAGAGGAAAGGAGGAGAAAGGATGATCCTGGAGTCGTCAGCATCAGCCAGGATAAAGAGCATCTATTTCTTGGTGACTGCAGAGACAAAGTCCAAAGGTAACAAACAGAGTTAGGCTCTCGGATCAAAGGAGCTGAAGCCATAGGGGTGATGAGTCTGGGCTTGACATCAGAACTAGAGACAAGGTATGGCCCAGGGACAGAAAGCATGTGGATGCAGGGGGTCAGAAAGTGGGAGAAGACTACTGATCCCTTTCCCTCTCAGCCCTCCCAGGTAGTCTCCAACACAGTACCAAGAACAAAGACAGCAGATGTCACTGCTAATCAAGAGGCAGATGCGGCCTTCCCGAAATCACCTTCTGAACAGAGCTGGTGGGAAACAGAAGCTCTGATGTTTACAAATATGCCCTTCTTAGGCTAGCGCAGCCACACACATCCTTCAGTAACTGGCTGTAGGCAAAGCTGTGGTTCTTTAATATTCCTCTTCCACTGTAAATCAGAGCGAGGCTTAACAAAAAATATTCTGAGGAAATGCACCTTCTTCACGAACTGCTAAGAAATATCTATGAAACTTCTTAAAAGTCCAGATATCAGGCATAAGAAACCCCTCTTCTAGCTGTTGGCAGAGACCCCTCCCCCAAAAACAATGTAGGCCACTGATGTAACCTTCAGCTGCCTCTCAGAGGTTGGAAATAAGTCACTAGAGACACCATCTGCTTCAGACACAGCTCTGGAGGACCCCAGCCTGATCTGCCTGGAAAGCCTCCTCTCTGAGGACGAGATTTCGTAACCCTGATAGGTGCTATGCAAGCTTCCAAGCGATAAGCAACCAGTGGTCCCACCCAGCTGTGATGCTACGAACCACACGAAGATGAGCAGGGCGTGAGAATCTGCAGGGTGCAATAGTGGGACTCATGTCCTCATGGGAACCAAGAGTTCTCCAATCAGACTTCAGGACTGATCAATAGGAGAAAAGCCATACCTGGTATTGAAACTAGCTAACCACCCGGGGCTAGTCAGGTCATAGATCTATTACTGCCACTTTATTAACCCAGCGTAATTACTAATTGCAGTCTAAATACCCATAGGTAAGAGTAGCTCTCACCCCCTTCTCTTTGCAACAGACAGAGATCATTACAGAAAACCACAACAGGTCAAAAGGAAGACAACAAGCGATTCTAAGGGGGCCCATCACCCAAAGGATACATCAACAACACAAACCTGCACCTAAGGCTCAGCAAACATGGCAGAGGAGGGGACGGAAAGGTCATTAAAGCCAAAGTGCACCGCGCCCCCGTGTCTGCGCTCGGTGCGCTATTACCCAGTTCGCGGGCTTTGGGCAAAGAGCTGTGTATTTAACAATACACAGACACACAAAGACAGAGACAGGGATCATCCTTGAATTCCCCAAGAATGCCCCTTTATTGTGTTCAGGGGCAGATTATATAGAGATAGCCACGCCCCAGCCAAACCCACCAGAAACCACTCTCCTGCCATCAGGAACTCCTGAAGGTCTCGTGCTCAGAGCAGCTGTAGGCACTCAGATCAGGGGAAAACAAGTTGTTTACAAGAAATTCAGGATCTGGGGTCTCACTGCTCCCAACACCAAACGACCAGGAAGTCACCGCAAGAATGTGTCTCATAAGAAATGACAAGGAAGCCACACCCATGATACCTCAACAACGTGGAAATTGTTTCTACAGTATCCTGCACACCAATAAGAAACGGGAATTGTACAAAAAAACTGAAGTCTTGCCTTTCTCAAAGTACTGGTATCATGTCAGTAAATAGAGGGGAAAGCAAACAACCCATGACAACAGAGAAAACAACTACATAACACTACATATTTGTGGCAGGGAAAATGTGGGTTCCTAAAATACATGTGGGTGCTCATAGGAAGCTCTCCAGACATTATTTTACAGATTGCTGAAGTTATCAGTATTTTCTAAACAGAATATTATGGATCTAAGACAAAGTAAATAAAACCCAGGATCAGTTTTCCAAAAGAAGGAAAAGAGTAACTAAGCAGAAAGGTATGTGACTGATTTTCCAGTTTGCGCATCAAGGAATGAAGGCTTGATCCCCGCCCCCCGCCCCCGCCACATAATTTGTCATTTCTCAAGTCCCAAATCCTAAGAAGACATGGGAAACGGGGAGTGCTAAATGACCCCTTCTCAGAATGACAGACAGTAGCATCAAGGGAAACAAGACCCTGGTCCCTGTGGAAGGAGAGTCCCGGAAGGAGGCTGAACATATCCAAAAAGGTATACTCTTTACCTGTAGCCTACATCGGAACTGGGGAAACGGAGCAGTCACGGAAGCCATCCAGAGGCAGGCCGTCTTGACTAAGCACACCCACCCTGAGCCCCGTCTCTCCCCACAGTATGACTGTCCTCTGAGATCTCTGGAAGCAGAAACACAGCTGAATCCCTTTAAACAAGTCACTTCCCCAAGTAGAGGGCCAGTTGAATTTGAGGACCTCAAGCTGTTTCGAACACCAGAGTGCCCTTACTAGCGATTAAGCTCAGCTGTAGGGTGTATACCCCAGGCTCTAGGCTCACCCCTAGCACCCGTTCCCATAGTTCTAAAATTGTCTACAAAGGCTTTTTTCGTCTTAAATCCCACGTATCTTAGGAGCACGAGTTCTAATAGTTCTTAATAATAAAAGCCCAGAGTCAGATACAGAGAGGTCAGAGAGAAGAAGGAGCCAAACGACAGCCACTTTACCTACTCACCTTCCCAGTGGAAAACAGACTGAGTTCCTGTTTCCTCTGGACACATCGCTTCCTCTCTCCGCCCAGCCATATCACTTCCTGTCTGTCTGTACAGACCTCCAGACCTCTATGGTTAGCTAGTGACTAGCTCCGCCCTCTGATCGCCAGGCAAACTTTATTTGTACAAACGCGAGATCACCACACTTCCCCACCTCTCCAGGTCTCTTGGCTGGAGTGCCTTCCTGTCCTGGACCTGCTGCAGTGCTCTTTATGTCCCTGTCCGTGCACATTAGGCCCTTTTTCCAAAGCCCCCCCAGCGTGTTGACTAATTTGTACCCCTCACTCCCTGGTCTAAATCCTAATGCAAATTTTATCCAGTTATCTCGCTGAGCCCTGCCAGGGAGTTAAGTACTTTTGCCAGTTACTTAGGCAGTCTTCTTGTGCCCCCCCCCTTCCAACAGAGGCTTGGCTCACAGTAGTGCTTAACAAATACAGTCTTGAATTAACAACCATAAAACATTGCTCAGTGAACCAACACACCTAACTTCTCGTTCACTTTAGAGTCTTACTGGTAAGACCCTTGCATGAAAGACTGGCTAGACTCCCATGGCCCACAGCTAAACCTCAGTGTTAGGACAGCTAACAGGACATTCCCACGAGACCATGTGCTCTTCTGTGGGACAGGAATTATCTACAGGAACAACTCCTCAAGAAGGGTCACTCTGACAGTATGTTAAAAAGAAACAAAGCGGGGCTGGAGAGAGGGCTCAGAGGTTAAGAGCATTGCCTGCTCTTCCAGAGGTCCTGAGTTCAATTCCCAGCAACCACATGGTGGCTCACAACCATCTGTAATGGGGTCTGGTGCCCTCTTCTAGCCTGCAGGCATACACACAGACATAATNTGGCTCACAACCATCTGTAATGGGGTCTGGTGCCCTCTTCTAGCCTGCAGGCATACACACAGACATAATATTGTATACATAATAAATAAATAAATATTTAAAAAAAAGAAAGAAACAAAGCAGGGCCACTTAGGATTGTCTAGATAAAAACAGAAGTTAGGGCCATTGTGGCATTGCATAATCCATATCACGAAGTTGTCCTGCCTCCCAACAGAAACTCTTCCTTAGATCCCCTTCCAAACCACTTGAAGGACATCTGTCTGCCGATAGGTCCTCCCAAAGGCACCATGCTGCTAGTACCCCTGTCTTCCTTCGTGTTTCCAGTGGTCTTTGATGAAACCTGTTCATACTTACAGACCACCATTTTATATTCAGTATCCACAAATATCTTAAAGGCATCGTTGGTCCCCGTTTCACCCACAAAGACCGGCATAGGTCAAGTGACATAGCAGGAATCACACACAGTGACTCTAGGCCTGACCCTGGGCATGCGATGAACAAGTCAACCCAATGTCCACTATGTTTTCCTGGATACCTTTCTGAGTATGGGCAAATATTCTACAAAATAAAGTACCATGAATTGAAAACAAAAGCCCTAGAAGATAAGAGGTGGCCCGTGGTGGCCAGATATCTCAGGTGGTTTCTACTTTCAAGATGAAAAGATGGATCGAGCAATAGACCAAACTAGGGCTAGAGTGACTCAAAATATGTCAGCCACAAAATATATAGGATGTCTAGTAGTAGTGATAATAAATAATAATAATAAACATAAACAATTCAAGGCAATATTCTCGTAAGTCAAGTCTGCAAACTACACACCAAAGGCTGATGTCTAATATTGTAAACAGAGTCTTACTAGAATTTCCGATAGGCATCTTTCTACTAAAATCAAATCACACAGCTCCCTCAATGCCAAGTGGCATTGTGGATGTCCATCTCCTGAAGCCACTTTCTCTTTTAAAACCTGGAGGATGACTCCAAGGGAGGCTGCTTCTCTGCAGGTTAGGAAGGGCTATGGCTGAAAGGAGCTTGCCACGGTCCTACCTGGGCTCCCCACCCTCCACCGGTGCGCTAAGGGGTACTGCTGCTTTAAAGCCCGAAGGTTCGGTCATTACCCTGGGAGACAAGACGCTCAACTGCAGCTCGTGCTCCCAGACCACCCGCCCACAAACATGCGCCCCCATCGCAGCATCCTAGAAGCCAGGAAGGGCAGCTCGAAGGAGCCCGGGAAGGGCAGCCCGAAGGAGCCCGATGAGGCCTCGATCGAGGAAGAGGAGGTGTTGGAGGAAGAGGAGGAAGAGGAGGAAGAGGAGGCGGAAGGGGCACAGGGGAGGGAGGAAGTGGCGAGCCACCAACAAGACAATCCCGACCAGTTGGTGGACTATGACGACCTCTGGAAAACCATGGACAACCGTGAAGGCCTTTCCGACAACGACGACGAATTTCGTCCTCGTCTAACTAGCGTGGTCACCCCCAGCCTGAGCTCCACACCCCCGCCCAGCGATCTAACCAGCCCCACGTGGAGCGAGGAGGAGTTACAGCAGCCCAGCGAGGGCTCTTCAGCTTCCAGCAGCAGCAGAGGCGGCGCCTCATCCCACAGAAGTAGTTTTGGGTTTCTCTTGGGGAGGGGGGCTGACCTGGGGGCAACCTGTGCACCCCTCCCTCTGCTGCCCACTGCACAGACACTATCAAGTCTTGACTGAAGGCCATGATGGCTCCCTAGTGTAGGATATAGAGGAATCGCTTAGTAAAAGGTGGAAGATGGGTCTCTCACTCCCCGGACAGGGTTCCTGAAGGATACCGAGCAACTTATGGGGTTCTGTAGTAACACACAGCTCTCTCCTGTGCCTTGAACTTCCTTGCTGGTCCCGCTAGATCTCTGTCTTACAGAAAAAGGAAAGCAGGGCGCTTAGAACCAACCACTCCTCAAACTCTCACAGTTCGCATTTTCCAGGGGGTTTGTCTTTACAGTTGGGGAAACGGTGGTGTCCTAGCGTATTCTAGGATGGGCTGTTTACCAGTATCCCTGGCCTCTTCTACCCCTGATTATGTGCTTGTAAATAGACGCGGGCGCATGTGCACAAAGTCATACACATACATCCCTGTGACAACCAGGCTGTCTTCATCCCTCACCAAATGTTCCCGGGGGACAAAATTTCCCTTCAAGAACCCGTGGCATGGAATGGCTAAATAGTTCAATGTTTCATTCAACAGGTTATCCTAAAATATTTCAAACATTTAAGAAAGAGTTGTCTGAAGTGACTGTAGATAGGTAAGAAAATGTTTTCAATTGTCGTATTTTTTTTCAGCAGATAGATTGGTTATAGATTTTAGATTGGTTACGAATAGTGCAAGTCACTTACAACGTACTTCTTCAAAGAGTTTGGTTGTTTTTGCTTTTTTTTTTTTTTTCCCCAAGCATGCTAGTACATGCTGTAATCCCAACATTCCAGAGTCTAGGGCAACCCTTGTTAAAACAAGAAAGTTAACAAACAACAGCTCCTACATTAGCAGTCACTTTGTAAGAGAGAAAGATGAGGTTGCTGGCTTCATCTTATTGCCCACCTATAAGTATGATGTGTCTACTTATCAACACGATGCATAGTAAGGGCAGACCACGTAGACAATAGTATAAGTGCTGGGGCTGGAAGATGGTTCCATAGTTAAGGGAGTGTACTGAGTTGGGTTTCCAGCACCCACTCAGGGGTGTTCCACAAAGGCCTGCAACACCAGCTCCAGGCTCCAGCACCTCTGGTCTCAAGAGGCAGCTGCACTCACTTGCACATTCCACCACACACACACACACACACACACACACACACACACACACACACACACGAGAGAGAGAGAGAGAGAGAGAGAGAGAGAGAGAGAGAGAGAATGTTTGTGGTTTTATGCATTTAATTCAAATTTCTAATGCAATGTGTGGCTTTAAAAAAAAATAGAGTAGACAAACCAATAAAACTCTCCACATCATCTCTTCCCTGAGCCACCAGAGTTAACATAATTTTGGCATTCTTGGTTTTCCTATTACATGTGTGTGTGCATGTGTGTGCACACGTGGGGGGGTACATGTGTCTATGTTCGTGCATAGGCATCGTCTTGAGGGGCTGCTCATCCTTCTTCTTTGAGATAATGCCTCTCATTGTTAGATTAACTGGTCAAACCCCAGGGACCCACTGGTCTTTGCGTCCCTGTTGCTAGGGTTACAGATGTTAACTACCATGACCAGCTTTTTTACATGTATTCTGGGAGAGGAACCCACAGCCTTGTGGATGCCAGGCAAGTCTTTTACCAATTAAGCTACCTCTCCACCCTTTCAACTACAATTTTTTTTAAAGATTTATTTATTTATTATGTATACAACATTCTGCCTCCATGCATGCCTGCAGGCCGGAAGAAGGCACCAGATCTCCATTACAGATGGCTGTGAGCCACCATGTGGTTGCTGGAAATTTAACTCAGGACATCTGGAAAAGCAGCCAGTGCTCTTAACCTCTGAGCCCTCAACTACAATTTTAAAGACCATTTTCACTTGATTTATCAAATTCTGACCTAAGTATTAATTTCCTCTCCAGCTATTTGATTGTTGGTTTTGTTTTGTTTTGTTTTAATTTTCTAGGATTTAGAACTGTAAAGAACTTAAACCTCTACTTTTTGATTTATCAGCATTAGTGTTAACTTATAAAATTAACTCTGAATCCGCCGGGCGATGGTGGCGCACACCTTTAATCCCAGCACTCAGGAGGCAGAGGCAGGTGGATCTCTGTGAGTTCGAGACCAGCCTTGTCTACAGAGCCACAGAGAAACCCTGTCTCGGAAAAAAAAAAAAATTAACGCTAAATCCACTACTGCTTTCTTCTATCTCTTCTCTTCTAGGTTTCTAATTAACAAATTACAAACAGACACTCACACACAGAGAAGCAAATCACACAAATTCCTAAGAAATTGTATTACTTTGCAATTTTATAATATATAATAAATTTTACAAATATGTGCATTATTTTGTTAGTTACAGTTTGAGAAAATTGAAAAAATCCTCAGTTGCATGTTAAGAATCCAGTATATTGGATACATGGACAAGAATATAAAATCTGATGTTGCCTAGAAACCAAGATTTCCCATTCGGTTGTATTCAGTTGCCTTCACTTTCTCTGGGCTGTTTCATGGCCACATTCTCTTGATTTCCAGTTGTCTACCTTTCCTTCCTTTCTTTTGGCTGAGGAAATTCTTTAGATAGTATTTTTCATGTAGTTCTCATGAGTATTCAAATTCCTAAGCTGCTCCCTGCCTGCAAACTTCTATTTTACCATCAGGCTTTATCAGTAATACAACCTAGCCTCTGTCTCAAAGCCTGGTCCTTTAAGATCTGAAGACATTGCCTCATCGGCTCCCAGGACCCAGGGTTAGTGATCAGTCTGCTTCAAACCCTTCTCATCCTCACCCCTACCTTCATCTCTCCTCTTCTCATCCTCACCCCTACCTTCATCTCTCCTCTTCTCATCCTCACCCCTGCCCTTTGTCTCTCCCCTTCTCATCCTTACCCCTGCCCTTCATCTCTCCCCTTCTCATCCTCACCCCTGCCCTTCATCTCTCCCCTTCTCATCCTCACCCCTGCCCTTTGCCTCTCCCCTTCTCATCCTCACCCCTGCCTTCGTCTCTTACCCCTCAAGCTTGTTGAAACAGTAGCTGTGTTCTCTGCCCTGTTTCTCATCCAGCAGGAAAACTGCCCAGGCAATATGACCACTTTTCAACAACAGTAACAACAAGCTGTTCTTTACCCTGCTTTAGAAATAAAACTACTGGGGCTGGAGAGGTGGCCCCAGTGATGAAAAGCACTTGCTGTTCTTGAAGAGGACCCAAGTTCAGTTCCCAGTACCCACATGGTCCCTAACAAACATCTGTAACTCCAGCCAGTTCTTGGTCTCCAAATGGCACCAGGCACACACACACATGGTACACGTGCACACGCGCAGACAAATCACTCATACACAAAAAAACTAAGATAATTTTTTAAAGAAAAAAAAACTGCTGTTAGGTGCCCCAAATAAAAGAAGAAGACACCTTCCTGACTGGCTGTTCCAAGGTCATTTCTTGATTTACTATGATGATAGCCACCATTCCCTCCTTTCTATTTTTGGTTGTATGAAGATAGACATTTCTCAGAAATTCCCTTTTGGGAAATCTTTCTCTTGTTTTAAGTTTTCATCTCCTCTGCTCTGGTCCTCCTCTCCCCTACAGTGACATATCCTTTCAAGGAGGTGAGTATTACTTACATGCCAAAGACAGCATCTTTCCAGAGCCAGATGTGTAGAGTGCGTTTTTCTTCAGTAAGATCTGCAGGAGGAAGAAGCCTTCTGTACTGAGCTGCCATGTTGTCCTGGTCTTCAGCCATGTGATTTCAAGTCTGTGGGAAGCTCTTTTCCAGACAAGATTTTCGTGTCTCATAAATATTCCTAAGATGTTTTTAAAACTAAACCCCCCCACACACACACACAAACTTCAAGTAGTCTTTACTGAATTTGGGGTGGGTTTTTTTTTTCTTTAATGCCCTAAAAATGCAACCAACATCAGTTCAACTTCCATTTTCAGTTGCCTTACTGTTACTCTCATTACAATGGTGCACACTTTAGAAGGCAGACTGTGGTGGTTTGGGTGAGAATGCCCCCCCCATAGGCTCACATATTAGCATGCTTAGTCATCACAGAGTAGAACTGTTTGAGAAAGTTGAAAAGATTAGGAGGTGTGGCCTTGCTGGAGGAGATGTGGCCTCGTTGGAGGAAGTGTGTCAGTGGAGATGGGCTTGAGATTTCAAAAGTCCATGTCAGGCCCAGTCTCTGCCTCTGACTCTGTCTGTCAGATCAGGACATAAAGCACTCAAGCCCCACGCCTGTCAGCCTCCCACCATGATGACCGTGGTGGACTAACCCTCTGAAACTGTAAGCAAGCCCCCAATTGGATGACTTATAAGACTTGCCTTGGTCCTAGTGTTTCTTCTCAGCAATGGGACAACAGTGACACACAGAAGAAAGTGACAAAAGAAGCTTTGGACCAAGGGAAGAGCCTCTCTGACTCTCGTGGATGTCCCTTCATCTGTATGGGCTTCCACTCCCTTGCCAGGGAAAAGGAAATACCAAGGTTTGGATTAGCTTGTGTGAAGGTAAGCGAAATAGCACAAGCAAAGCAGCCTTCGTTCCTACCCTGGACGCTCTCCACAGAGTGAATTCGGTGGCCATCCTCATTTATCTTCCACCTAGCAGTTCCATAAACAATATCTGATGGAAGACTAAGGAAAGCAAGGATATTTAAATTAAAAAAATGTACTCATTTTTGGTAGCTATTGCATCGCGAGGGAAACACACAATAAATGTCTCGGGATTTCCCTCTCGTGCAGCGGTCCCCGCAGCCTGTCTCTCAGGAAGGTTAGATAAACAGGATCGCCTCGGAGACTTGCCCGAGAGGCCTCCACAGAGGAGTTCTCTGCCTATTCTAGGACACAGTCATTTCAGAACCGAAAAACAAAGGTAGGTCACTGATGCAATGTGCCAGGGAACGGAGTGTCAGGGAGGCAGGTGAAGACACAGCTGAACCATGGTGAAGAGGCAACGATTGGATGCCACACGGACTGATTGAAACAAATGTTGTTCGATAGTTTTAGAAAACACAATCATTTGATTAAAATGCAAAGAAGCAAGGGAGGTTGAAACGCAATGCTTACTTGTTACCACTAGAGTTGTTTGATTACCATGCATGTTCCTTAACATCAGCGCTTTTTTTTAGAAAGTTTGTATAATTTCTTGGCATTCAGGAGGCAAAGGCAGGCAAATCTCTAAGATCAAGGTCAGCCTGGTCTACAGAGCAAGTTCCATGACAGCCAAGCTACACAGAGAAGCCCTGTCTTGAAAAACAAATAAGCAAACAAAAAGTCTATAAAATGTGTGTGTGCGCACACACGTGTGTGTGTGTGTGTGTGTGTGTGTAGTACGTGTACGCATGTTTGTGCAAAGGTACAGTCAGGCCTGCATGAGCGTGTGGAGGCCAGAAGTATCTCCCTTTTTTTGCTTTCCACCTTGTTTTTCCCGAGACAGTCTCACTGAAACTGGAATTCACCCTTGTGCCTCGATGCCTGTCCAACGTGCCCAGCCCTGTATTAATTTTAAACTAAATGAGATGCAGTGTGAACTTAAATCCATGCAAAGGTTTAAATGGTGCACATCACTAGCACAAGCCATATGGATTCCACACGCAGGCAGGTACAGTGCTAGAAAATCCCTACAGGGAAGAGATGACGTTAGCAACCTCTAGGATCTAGAAAGAGTCAGGGGAGAGCTGGGTCTACCCGGGCTATGCTCACCTATCGGATTTGAGCTGGGCCTACGTGGGTTATGCTCACCTGGTGCATTTGAGCTGGGCATACTCGGGCTATGCTCACCTACTGTGTCTGAGTTGGGCCTACGTGGGTTATGATTACCTACAGCGTTTGAGCTGAGCCTACTCGGGCTATGCTCACCTACAGCGTTTGAGCTGGGCCTACTCAGGCTATGCTCACCTACAGCAATCTTTCTCACCCTCACAGCTGCTGTGAAAGAGATGCCAGGCACTCTCCTGCGCCTCTCTAGGAGTCTGTGATCCTCAGTTCCTCAGAAAATGTTTAGCACGTACCACAAGCCCCCAGGAGCTACAGGTCACATCCTGTGTGATAGATGAAAGGCCACATCCTTCCCGCTTTCTACCATTGCTGGTAATCAGAGACAACAATATATGGTTGACATGGCACGGGGTCTTCTGCTTACCACTTAACTTCACGGGCCTGCACTCTCTTCAGGACCCCCACCACGCTGTCTGTCTACGGCATTCAGTAACTCCTAATAAAACTCTTACCCAGAAGGTCAGTCCTCTCACTGTCTCTCACGGACCTCAAATCTGAGGACTCTCAGGAAGGAAGGCTTTCCAAGGAATTGATTTGATTCACAAGTCCTGTTTAACTTTACTGGAAATATAGGAATGGAAGAAAATATTTCAAAGAAAACATCAGAACTTTCTACGGGAATATGTCATCCAGCTGAACATATACTAGAGAGAGTAGATCTGCTAGCAACCATATAATTAAACTAACATTGTGATTTAAATTTCAGAGATATGTACCCAAGTTTGTATGAAAGAGTTCAGATATCAGTACAAACAGAAGAAAGTTGGCTTCAACAAATTTCTAAGAAGGAACCGAGTGAGTATTTTGATTCCTTAGCTGTTGCTGGGTGGGGGTTGGGGGTTGGATTGCAAATTGGAAAATTCAAACAGTGTGGAGGGGCAGCAGGGCTGACGCTGAATCCAGGCAGTGTAAATCAACATTGAGATACTGGGCAAATCTGTTCATCTCATCAAGCCTCAGTCACCTTATCTCTTAGCAGAACTGGTGACACAGAAGTGCTGATCATCAAAATGAGATTAGATATTTAAAATCATTGGCACACAGTATTTGATAATTGGCAGTGTTTGTATTCATCGAGAAATAACCTGCCATTAAGAAAGACAAGCATGGTGGCATTTACCTTTCATCGGAGTATTCAGAAAGTATAGGCAAGCAGAGCTTCGTGAGTTCAAGGCCAGCCTGGTTTGCATAGTGAGTTCTAGGACAGCCAGAGATATGCACTGAAACCCTGTCTTGAAAGAGAAAGAGAGAGACTCATTATATTTTTATTATATATCCTTCTGTTTATTATAGAAAGAACATATGCACTCTTTTAAAAATGAGTTTACAAACCATCAATAAAAAGTAGTGTTTTTTTTTTTAAATTTATTTAATAAGCTATGGTTTAGGGTGTAGAGAGACTATGGAAGAGTGTCCATCAGAATGCAAAAGATCATGGGTTCAACCCCCAGCCCCATAAGAAAAAAAAATTCAACATTTAACGTACCTTACATAAATCTTTAGAAGAAATTATGGGGAGGTGAGGGCTTGTTTCACTTTACAGTTTTACGGTTCATTGTTTGAGGAAGTCAGAGAAGGAACTCAAGCAGAAACTCAGAGGAGAAACCGTGGAGGAAAGCTACTTGCTGGCCCATGCTTAGCTAGCTTTCTTACTTATCATAGGCCAGGACAGCCTGACCAGGGAATGGAGCCACCCACAGTGGCTGACCCTTCCACCTCAATTAACAATCAAGACAACCCTCTATAGACATGCTGAGGTGGGTGAATGAGGATCCCCACCATAGGCTCGTATATTTGAATACCTGGTCCCCAGTTGGTGGAACTGTTTGGAAAGGATTAGGGGGTGTGGCCTTGTTGGGGGAGGTGTGTCACTGGAGAAAGGCTCAATGGTTTCAAGAACTCCTACCATTCCCAGTGAGGTGTCTCTGCCTCCCGCTTTCAGGTAAGGATGGAAAATCTCAGCTAATGTTCTAGCACCATGCCTGCCTGCCTGCCTCTAAGTTCCCGGCCATGATGGTCATGGGCTCAGTTTCTGAAACTGTAAGCCACCAATAAATTCTTTCTTCTATACACTGCCTGGAACATGATGTCTTAGCACAGCAATAAAAAAAATTAAGGCACATGCCCACCAGTGAATCTGGCCTATTCAATCCCTCGACAGATAGTCCTTTCTCAGGAGACTCCAGGCTGTGTTAAGTTTGTAGCTAAAGCTAACTAGGATACCAACAAAGTGGCCCTGGTGTGTGAAAAGTTGTGTATCATTATCTTCCCAAACAGCTGACCCCCATGTGTGTCTCTATTCAATTCTTATTAAAAAAAGGGGAGGGACATTTGAAATTGAAACAAACATAGGCACTTATTTTTCTATTTTATTTTTCTTCCTGTTTAACTTGTTTCTCCTTTTTCAAGATTGATGATAAGTACATATATACTTTCTCTCTTATTCTATTTTTAGAAAAAGTACCATCCCTAGAAACAAAGGAGGTGCAACCAGAAATGCTGGCTTCTAAGCGAAGAGGTAAATGGATGTTTGCTTTGCTGGAAAAGACAGATGTACACGGGCAGGCAGGGCAGATGAAGGGCTTAGGCTGTGTGTGTGTGGGCACGTGTGTGTGCACGCGTGTGTGCACATACATACCTATTTGTGTTTGGGTAGATAGGGTTATGAGGTCAGGACGGGCGAGGACCTCTAGGCTAGAGGGCAACAGAACGCACAGCACAAAGGTTGCAATTTCTCATCTGAACCTGTCCTTTCTCTTCAGGAACGTGGGTAATTAATCCTGAAGAGCCGAAACTAAGTATTTTATGTGAGACGGAGGTGAGAGCTATTTATCACAACAACCAAAGCACTGTTCTTGCTGTAAAGCGACTTATTCGATCTTAATTTTTTCCCCTCTCTTCTTAATATTTAGTTTCATGAAGATTTTGTAAAATTCTTTGAATCTCCTCTAAGGACACTAACCAGCATTGGGCCTCCGCCCTTGCTGTCATATAGAAAAGACCTTCCCTATCTGGACATTAGCATCAAGGTAACTTCAGTTCATAAGTCTTATGATTTCTGTAAAGGACTGCATGGGGCCACACAGTGATTTGTACCACGGATGGGAGCAGACCTTTAAAGAATCAAAGCAAAGGGTTTCTTTACTCCGAAAAGCACGCGGTGGTTTCCTAAGTCTTAATAACTGAGTCTGGAAAACAAAAGAACCTCTGCACTATGACTCCGGAGGGTCGAAGTCTGGGTCCGGATATCAACAGGGTCACCTCTGTAATAAGACTCTCTCTTCGCTTTTTCCTCTTTAAGGACTCGAGGGCAATGTGTGGCCATTGTTGGCTGGTAGTTGCACCCTGCCAGTCTCTGCCTCAGTTGTCGCTGGTTTCTTATTGGGTCCCTAGGTCCACAGGTCCTTCTCTACTGAAAACACCAATAATACTAGATGAAGGCCTGTTCTGATAACCTCATTCTAACTTGGTGGCCTTCATGAAGACCAAATAGAGTCACATTCCCAGGTACCAGAAGTTAGACCTTCAACATACCTTCTAAGAAGACACAATTCAACCAACGATAGTGGTCACAAAGCAAACACAGGTGAACCTTTGACATGTTCAATGACATTAAGGGACCAGTTACGGATTTGTGTTTGAAAAGCTAGATAAAGGTTTCATTAGTGACTCCAGTGAGCCAGGGCACCGCCTTCCACTCCTGTGCAGTGATGGAATGGCTGGTAAAATGATCATCCCCAAACCTAGATAGATGACCTTGTGAAGGGAATGCCCATTCCCAGATCCGAATCCCCTAGACGACTTCTTCTGGCATATGCTAGGTGATGTTTTGTGTGTGGTAAGGAGGCCCCAGCTGTGCCCCATGAACACAGCACGTGTGCAGGACCAATGAGACCCTGTGTGAACGCACTGATGTGCACAGCAGCTGAACCGTATGGTACTAATAAAGGGCAACGCGTTAAATACCGCGCAATATATCACCAACAGCTATTGGCTCAGCTGTTCATCCAGGTCTGCAAACTAGACTCTTCGGACTGCAATTTTTACCTGAACCGAGCGCTCTGATTCCTCTGAGCCAGAAGGGCTTCTATCCAGAGAAGTCTCTGGAGGTAGTGGGGTTACAGTCTTCCTCTGACCCAGAGATGGACTTGACCATAAAAAAAAAAAAAAAAAAAAAAGACCTTGTGGCTTCTTCTCCAGGGGGATGTCCTGACCTAGACAAGGCTGGCTCCTCTGGCTCTGGAGGCAGACACTGCAGGTAGCATTGCCAGGAGTTGCGTTCAGGAGCCGTGGTAGCTGGCCTGTCTAACCCTCCTCTCCCCACACTCTTCCTGTGAAGAGTCCACTGCCACCTGTGGTCTTCCAAGGGATCTCTGTCTTGCTTCATTCTCAGGTGGAGGGGTGAAAGAATCGTGAGCCAAAGGATGTACCACCAAGTCCCTTGTACAGAAACAGTCATCACTTCAGGGTGGCCCCGTATTTTCCACCAGCACCTCTCCAATGCAAGGCTTTGCCCACTCAGCACTCTGCTGTTGACAGGGCGTCGAGTTTGTTGTAGGACGGTTTCAAATGCCTACAGATACTCAAGTGGCCAATCCCCAGCGGCACCAGCTAAGACCATCACCTTGATAACTGGGTACTTTACCTGTCTCAGAGGACAGCTTAGACGGCAAATACAGATGTGCCAGGGCTGTTTATGATCTGAAAGGCACCTCTGAGTCTTGCCCTAGAGGTTTTTTTTTTTTTTTTTTTTTTTTTTTTTTTTTTTTTTTTTTTTTTTTTGAGGCACAGCTACTCACCTACCCAGGATCCCTGCAATCGTAGGTGTGTTGAATTACCAACATGGCCCCAGTTCAGGAACCCCTCAGAAGAGACTTACCTGAGCCACCCTGACTTTCGTTTTGTTTGTTCCCCTCATCTGTTTCTTTTCTTCCTGGATTTCCTTGTGGAGTTCAGAACTCCAATCAGGGGTCCCCGTGAAGGAAAGACTCTGGTTGACTATAGAAAGTTGCAATTGTTCGTGGTCAATTTGAGCTCTACCACACAAGCAGTACCAGAGAAAACAGCACTCCAAACACATCTCAGGCAGCTTCTTCCCTTCTAGCCCTTGGGCAGAAGTGATGCCACACACTAGACTACACGGACCTTGCTAGCTCGATCCCTTCAGCCACAAAACCTCAGACCCTTAAAAGGTCCCCATCAGGTATTTCAGTGGCAAGTGTTCTCAGATGAATCGGCCCATCTCCCACTGCCTTTGTTGCCCTGATAGATATTCACTGCCCACAAAGCTACTCCAGTTGCCCCTAGGTCTGCTGGGCCCCCCGGGGCACTTCTTCACTTCCTTTCTCTTTCTCTCCCTTTCTCTGAAGGATGAAGAAGACCTAGTCCTCAAGTGTGAATTCTGTGGAAGTGTCCTACGATCGCTCCTTTCCGATATAGACATTTGCTCTAACAACACTGACACCGAGCACCGGAAGCGTGTAAGTTAGTTCTAAAGAAGGTTTGACCGAGGAGCTGTAACGCATGTAGTATTTTCCCCTGCTTCTCCTTTATGTGGTTTTTCTTAAGGCCTGTGTGTTACCTGTCAAGGAGATGCCACTCACAACCAACACATTCACTAGGACAGATATCATATAAAAGACCGAGAGGAAAAGACAGAGCTGGGAAGAAGCTGACTTGATGGCTAGCCTGGTGTCGGGGCACACACACACGTCATCCCAGAACTGTCGGGGTCCAGCCTGGTGTTGGGGCACACACACGTCATCCCAGAACAGCCGGTGTCCAGCCTCAACGAAATTCACATGCACTAGGGCAGGAGCATGAGGATTAGATTATTAAGCAAAAGGAACAGAGATAGGAGAGAAATAAAAGGCAGAAACACAGAACAGCATCGGGAGGGAAATCCACCGAACACTGGACCATCCACATTTATTTTCCAGCAGCTTATATACTTCCCCCTAAAAGGGGAGCGGGGGAGGCAACAGACTTCATTAACATGATATTAGGAATAGGCTTGAATTCTCCCACCTTTGGTCGAGGTGTTATCCATATCTCATTGGTGGTTTGGGGGTTTTACCCCTCTGATTCGCTTCACCTATTTCTTACCCATAACTGGATCATACCCTCTTTGTCTTTCAGGCCTTCTGTTGTCTTCAGTTACAAAATCTTCTTGATTATATCAACGAGGAAAGGCTAAACATCCAAAGTACTAAGACGGACTTAATCAGTATCCGTCCTCATGCAGCCCGTGGCAGTGATGTCGACAGACTCAAGGCAAAGGAAAAAGCCATACAGAGGTAAGGCAGGGTCCTCGTACTGAGCTTGACAAGAAACACTAACCGAGGAGCATCTCATAAAATGAACCCTGGTCTCTCAAAACACATAATTACGAGGATATGTTTCATATAAAGAAATAGAAATGAACTAAAGCAAACTCATTATAATATCCCTGGTGGATGTCATGAGATTCAAAAGTTCCAAGAAGAACCTCAGTTCGAGAATGATTCCCTTGTGTACACAAGGCCCTGAATTGAATCCCTAGCACCACATACACAGATACTAAATAATGATGATGATGATGGTTATGATGATGTTGATGACGATGATGATAGTAGAGATAGAACCTAGTGAGCTCAATGGCTTAAAGTAGGAATTGTCAATTATAAATTATCAGGGCAATTCAAAATTCCTATGCTTGAGAAATTTGCCCGATAAGCCCACTCCCAGCTCTGATGACATAAACTGGATTTATAAGTGATAACAGATGAAAATAGCAAAGGATGGTACTTGAGCAGTTGAAATTTGTAGTACGCTATTCCCGCTTTCAACCACAGTTCCGATTTACGCTTGATGGTTTTGATTTTATAGAAAACAAGAACGTCAAATGGCCAGACACTTCGCAATAGTCTCCCATGAACCGAGCACCCCGCTAACTGAGGACGGTAAGGGTGTTGTCGGGGATGCTGTTCGGCATCAGAAAGCTCAGATGTTGGGCCGAGGCATAAAATCAGTACATGCTACAGAAATGCTGAGAGCGTTCATTTGAAAATGTCATAGAATCTGTGTCTATGGGTGAAATGGGTCGAGACACCTGGGGTTTAGGCTCTCTGGCTTTAGAGTTCTTAGTCTTTGTCTCATCGTTATTGGATGAAGTGAACCAGGAACATCCCCAGAGCACTGCCTAGACAGTGACTGAGCGTTGTCAAGCTTGTGTCTCTGGTGTTAGGAGGCACATGTTTCACGTTCCACTCTCATCTCTAACGTGGATGTGGAAAGTCTGCTAAAAGACATTTGAATGCTTTCTTCTTGTACTTGCCAGAACTAGTCAGTGTGGGCACAGAACAGGAGCAGTTGAAGGGACTGAGTTTCGCGTCAGAAATCACACACCAGTATTTAGAAGAAATAACTTAATTTTCTCAGTCAGCAACAAGCTCCTTCTGTTATTGAAGAGGAACTTAGAGTAGTCAGTTCAGTTTGTATTTTTGTAACTAAATATCTAATATTGGGGGGGGTTGAAATTCACTGTTTCTTATTGAAACTAAAGGCCACCAGGCATGGGGACACACACACACCTTTAATCCCAGCACTCTGGTCAGACTCTGGGAGTTTGAGATCAGCTTCGTCTACTTAGTGAGTTCCAAGCAGTCAGAACTGTATAGTTCAGACTCTGTCCCCAAAAAAATGAAAGAAAAAAAGAAAGGAAGGAGTGGGGGATAGAGGGAGGAAGGAAAGAAAAGGAGAGTGGGAGGGAGGGAGAGAGAGAGAAAGAGGAGGGAGGGAGGGAGGGAGGAAGGGAGGGAGGGAGGGAGGGAGGAAGGGAGAAACTCAAAGCCTAGAAATTCCTCATAATGAAAACTCTCTCAGAGGAATTTTCATTTTCTATTTAATAGAAAATTATGATCATTTTTAAATCAAAGAACCTCTTCCTCATTTAAATTTAATAGATATCCTTATTTTTCTTCCATTAAAAAAAGTGTGATAAATTGATGCATTTGCCACAGGGATTGAATTTTATTATAAAGTTTTTTTTAAGGCAAAGCACATATGTGCTTTCCTGCGACTTTTTTTCTCCCACAGATACAAAGCACTTGAAGACAATTTCTTACCAGCTTTCTCTGGATTTGCCGAAAAAGAAGAGCGATGACGACGAAGATGATATTCTGATGGGGAACATCTCCATCACTTGCTGTGATTCCAGGAAAATGTGTGGAAAGGTAATTCTTTTACAAATTTTGTTTTTGATTTTTTTAAGACAATTTTGCTTAAAACAAATAAAAGTTCTCACGGAGCTCCACTGCATGGCCCATTGCTATTTCTCAAAAATAACTGGTACAGACTTGGGATTGCAACTGTTTCTACACTTTATGTCTTATTAATAATATTCTTAGTTAAAGCCTTTTGGCCTTAAAATGTGATAGTTGTACATTAAAGACCATCTGGAACTCTTAAAAAATTAAAAGGCGGGAGGAAACATCACCGAAGTCCTAGCCTTATTTCCTCAGAATTGTGTTAGCATTTGAAGTGTTCTAGTTTGCAGTGCACCTCCACGTTCCTGTAGTTAAGGAGGAAGAATTTTAAAGGGGACACTCTTCTCTTAAATGACCCAATGCAATCCCCACCGGTTGTTGGCTTACAAAAGAGTTCCACAAAAGCCCGGAATGGAGTATAACAAAGGTTTATTTATCTGGGGACAAACTCACAGGAAGAGCAGCAATCCGCAGTCCTCTGCATGTGCTGGGAACTGGAACTGAATCCAGCAGCCAAGAGACCCACGCACACTTTTCATCTGCATTTATAGTACATGAGGCCACGCCCGAAATGGGCCCAAAAGGCTATTGGCCGAAGGAGTTCCTACAACTGGGTTCTAAGACGAGTGTAGTTCACATACATTGAGGGAAATCTTCATACACTGATTGTAAAATTTATGTAGAAGTATAAAGAACCTAGAATTACCAAGACACTCTGGGGAAAAAAAGCCAAAGGGAGCTGTAGACCTCTGCAGATACAGCGATTAAGTAAGGGTGATGCTGAGGGAGAACAGTCGAGACTCAAACGCCAGCACACATGCATTCAGAGCTGCTGACAGCAGGACCACTGAAGAGCAGTGAAGAAGAAAGTTTTTTTAATGTCTAGTTCTAGGTCAGCTCGGACTGGGCGGCCACATTCTTTATTAATGTCATTGAAAAGACTATCTCACACCGTAGTAGAAACCAATTCTGGAGGAGATTGAATCCCGAGACACAACATACAAAACTATAAAGGTTTTTTTTTTTCTTTCTTTCCTTCTTTTTTTTTTTTTTTTTCTTTGAGTTTCTCTGTTTAACAGCTCTGGCTATCCTGGAACTTGCTTTGTGAGACCAGGCTGGCCTGAAACTCACAGAGATCCCCCTGCTTCTGCCTCCTGAGTGCTGAGATTAAAGGTGTGCGCACCACCCCTGCCTGGCTTCTTTTCGTTTTTTCAAATGTATACTATTTGAGGATTTCATATATGCATGTGGTATATTTTCATCATATTTCATACATACGTTCAGTGTATTCCAATTATATTCATCTGCAGCTTTCTTCTTCCTAACTCTCTCCAGATTCAATTCTCGTTCCCCTCCAACCCCTCCCCACATCATGTCTCTTTTATTTTATAACTCAGTCCAATTTGTGCTGCACAATGTGTTTTGTTAACATCATAGAACAGACTTATACCTTAAAGCAGTATTTGCCAAGGACTTGATGAATTAAAATTAAGATTTTGAAAAACAAACCAAAAAATGAAGGATCATTTAATTACATATGACATATAAAGAAAAGTTTTATACCCTAAATTTATGAAGAATTTTTAAAAATCAAAATGAAAAGCTAATTTTTCCAGGTGTGGCAGTGCATGCCTTTAATCCCAGTGGCAGGAGGCAGAGGTAGGCAGATCTCTGTGAGTTCAAGATCAGCCTGGTCTACATAGCGAGTTCCAAGTCAGCCAAGGCTATATAGCAAGACCCTTTGTCAGAAACAAAACAAAGAAACACAAAACTGGATCCTACAGAAAAGTGAGCCCTTTGCCAAAACTCAAACGGAAACTTTTCACGAGAGAAAATGCAGATGACTGAAATCATACGAAAGCCTGTTCAACTTCCTTCGTCACCCGAGAAATGAAAATTCATTTCACACTAACCACACTGGCAACAGTATAAACTCTGATAGAGCTGAGCTTTGGGGAGCGGACCGGACAGTAGCCGGCCAGCATTTGCTGTGCCACGGGAAGTGACACAGAACTATAAAGTCACCTCGGTGGAGCCAGACTGACAGGAACTTAATACCAGCATGCAGGCATGCGTAAGAATGTTCTCGTTATCCGGGCTTCTATCAGCCAAAAGATGGAGAAACCTGGGGTCCCTCACCCACAATGAGCAGTGGCAAACAGGTGTAGAAAACCATGAGCAAATCAAAGTCACTGCAGCGCAGCGGCTCAAGGAGAGGGGTCTTCCCCTGAGAAGAAAGAAGACCTGACAATTACAACAGATGATCCTAGCCATCTTAGTTAGCATCTCTACTGCTGTGAAGAGACACCGTGACTGCAGCAACTCTTATAAAGGAAGACATTTAATTGGGGCTGGCTTACAGTTCCGAGGGGAGGGTTAGTCCGTGGTCATCATGGCAGGAAGCATGGCTGCATGCAGGTGGACATGCTGCTGGAGAGGTAGCTGAGAGTTCTACGTCCAGATCTGGAGGTAGCAGGAAGAGACTGTCACATTGGGTATAGGTTGAGCATCTGAGACCTCAAAGCCCAGCTCCAGTTACACACTTCCTCCAACAAGGCCATACCTACTCCAACAATGCCACAGCTCCTAATAGTGCCCTATGGGGCTATGGGGGTCATTTTTATTCAAACTACCACACACCATATATAGAACATTAAAAAAGAGAACATCTAAATGACAAACATACAGAAGTGCACAGAAATTACCATAAAATCACACTGTCAGATGCATCTCGGCAGGGTGTTGATACTGAACTTGGCCCACTGGGCTGCGCACACCAGGGTAGGCACGCTGGCGTGTGCACACTGGGCCGTGCACACCCGGGGGAGCACAGTAGGAGACTACTGGAACCTCTGGTTCCATTTAGGACCTTGTGTGGTCATGGCACAGCATTTGTTTCACAATTACTCGCTGCTGAAATAGCATCCTGTGGCGCTTGTCTGGAAATTCCCTATTTCATAGCTTTGGAAACGATAGCCTCCCCCCCACCCCACACACACACACATACTTTCGAAGAGGCTATCATTTCCAGATGGAACAATAAGTTTTCAAAGTCAATGACAATGTCCATCCAAAAACCTAGATCATTTCACCCTAGGAATTCTTGTCCTTGTTTTAGTGCAAACCAAGATCAGGAGTACATAGAATTAAACCAAATCATCAGTATTATCAGCTACAGATTCATGTTCACACTGAACTTCCATATAAAAGGGGTTGGACTTGGCGCCACGATGGTCATCTTCCTGTGTCTTCACTGTCTCCTCACTGGCTTATTGCAGGGGAGGTAGCTGGGTAGAAAGTGCCTAGCGCGTGCAGGGCCCTGGGTTCAATCCCCAACACGGGGAAAGGTGAATAAAGCAGTGTAGACGGATTGTTCTTTGGGCCACCAGCTCACAGAGAACAGCATATTACTAATTTTGGAGACATTATTAATTTTGAAAGCTCACCCTATACCTTAGGCTTGCCCCGCTAGCTCTTTTTTTAAACATTTATTTATTTATTATGTATACAATATTCTGTTTGCGTGTCTGCCTGCAGGCCAGAAGAGGGCACCAGACCCCATTACAGGTGGTTGTGAGCCACTATGTGGTTGCTGGGAATTGAACTCAGGACCTTTGGAAAAGCAGGCAATGCTCTTAACCTCTGAGCCATCTCTCCAGCCCCCCGCTAGCTCTTAAAACTTAAATGAACCCATTTCTACTCACCTACCTGCTACTATGTAACTCGTGGCTTTTTCCTCTCCTGCATACCTTGCTCTGCCTCTGCAACTGGCTCGTGACCCCGCCTTTTTTCTTCCCAGAGTTCTCTGGACCCAGAAGTCCTGCCTAACCTCTTCCCGCATGCCTAATGACCATTTAGCTCTTTATTAAACTAATCAGAGGGCACCTTGGCAAAGACACATCTTCATGGTGTACGAAAAGATTACTCCACAACAAAGTAGGTCAGATTTATAAAATACCCCTTCAGCCCAGCGCTTCCACAGATGTGTGAACGCCTTACAGTAAGGAAATGATTGTTACCATTGTGGTGTGACTGGTTTGTCTTCTTTTGTTTTTTTTTTATGGTAATATACACGAAAAAAAATAAAACTTTCAATAGGTAAGCGATGAGAAGGGGTTTATTACGCTACACTGCAGGCGTTCAAATGATCTGTAAACCATTACTGCTGACCGTCCCATGTTGCTGAAGCAGGGCTAAGCATAGGAAGTAAGGAAATGGTTTGCTCCATGTGTGACGTCAGCAGCCACCAGTTAATGTTGTTTGCCGTACATGCAGATCGTGAAGAATGAACTCTTGGAGAAGCACTACAAGCACGGAAGCAAGTTTCTCACCTCCTTTCCAGATGGGACAACACAAATATTGTATCCTTTCTTTGCATACGTTGTTGTATTAGCTTTACTTCCCATGAAGGAAAACAGGCAGGGCCTGATGGCCTAGGCTTGTAGCCTCAGCTACTTGGGAGGCTGAGGTGTGAGAAGCCGAGGTGAGGGAGACTGAGGTGAGGGAGGATGAGGTATGGGAAGCTGAGGTGGGGGAGGCTAAGGTGAGGGAGGCTGAGGTGGAGGAGGCTGAGGTTGAGGGAGGCTGAGGTGGGGGAGGTTGAAGTAAGGGAGGCTGAGAAGTAATGTTGAGGTGAGGGAGGCTGAGGTGGGGAAGGTTGAATTGGGAGGCTGAGCTGGGATACTGAGGTGGGGAATGCTGAGGTTGGGGAGGCTGAAGTGGGAGGCTGAGGTGGGACATGAAGCAGGAAGATAGCAAGTCCATGACCTGCCTGGGCAAATTGGAGTGAACCTATCCCAAAATCAAAAAAGAGCTGGGGAGGAGGTCTGTGACAGGCCACATGTACTAGGCCTTGGTGTTAATCCCAATAGAAAATGAAAGGAGGGAGGGAGGGCCAGACAGAAAAGAAAGAGAATGGGGGGGGGGGCTACAGAAAATACATACATCCTCCCAGACTTCTACCATCCAGAGAAAAGCAGATGACATTTGAAATGCACCTTCCCTTACACCGCCCTGAGTCCATAAGCTTCTATATTAGTGAGATAAATATATGCATATAAATATCATATATTTCCCTTTGAATGGGCTCTTTTATATAATGGTTAGAGAATATAAAATGTGATTGACATTAAGACACTCCACTTTTTGTACCAGACAGTGCTCAGTCGGCTCTCTGCTTTACCCGCTACACACTTACAACATACTTCCTTGAGTTCAATCCCTAAGAGAAAAAATTCTAGATGAGAAATTTGAGCATTTCCAGCTCTGATATTTTTTACCCCCAAACCACAGACCGGTTAATACACCCATGAACTAAGTCACTAGCCACTTCACCATAGGCCACTCAGACAGCCAGCCCATAGAGTTTGGGCATAAAAGCCACCCACAGTCTCTGAAGAAAAGAAAGAAACAAAAACCCAAAGAGAACTTTTCATGAACTGAGTGCTTCCTGTCATTTTTGGTCAGCGTCCCAGATATTTAGGCAAACCCTAACAATAAACCAGGAAAATATGTTCACGGCTGCACACGACAAAGCTGGAGTCCCCATGAGAGAGAACGCAGTTGCCAACTTTTACTTCTAATTGTTTCAGGTCACGACTTTAATTCTTAGCACTCTTAGAGGCTGTGACTGATGTTCGAAATCAGTCTTGATTACCCTTGTTTCTGAATAGCCTTTGCACACAGACCCGATTAACACCACCGGACATGCTCGGTGGGCTTTCTTTTGGATGCTACTGCAAGTGGGATGGTTTTCGTAATTCCGTTTTCAAATGGTCTCTGCTAAGATAAAGAAACCGAGTTGATTTTGTCTTGCAGCCTATGAGGACAGTCCCCCTGAACTCAATCACTGGTTCTAAAGTTTTGTTTCACTATGTCCTTGAGGCTTTCTGTATACACAGATCCCAAGTATGCTTTTTACCTCCCATTCCAATCTAGACATTTTCCTTTCCTAAATTTTCCATGGTTAGGACGTTCATGTAAAATTGACCCAGAAGGGGCCAGCAAGATGGTGGGTAAAGGTAACTTTCCACCAAGCCTGGTGATCTGAGTTCAATTTGCCGGGACCCACACAGTGGAGAGAGAGAGAGAGAACCCAGTCCTGCAAGTCATTCTCCAACCTCTGTACGCATGCACTCTGTGGCACACACACATATACATATACACAAATAAATAAACAGATAAAATTGTAATATGAATATAAAGCATGAGAAGTCATGGGAATAGACATCTTTGCTTAGGTTCTCACTTTAACAGGAAAGCATAGCATGAAGTAGACTGCTAGCCTGTGGTATTTCTGTGACTACCCTTTGTTAGGCTGAAGATGTTCTCATCTATTTGAGAACTACTAAGTCTTTTTTATCAGGAAGCGGTATTGGTTTTTCAGAAGACTTTTCTGTACCTATTGAGATGGTCATGCTCTTTTTGCTTTCTATTCTACTAATGCAGTTTATTTTATTTGTTGATTTTCGATGTTGAATCACCCTTAAATCTTTTGGGATAAATTTAATTTTATCATGATGTACAATCCTCTTCCATATCTCTAATTCTATTTCTTACCACTTTGTTGAGAATTTTTACCTTTCAAAAATATATTTTCATCCATATAAAAGCATAAATTTCTTTTGTATTAAAACAGCGACCTTTTCAGAATGCTTCATAATTTCAAAAAGCTCCTCATAAATTAACTTTATTCCACGCATAGTCCAGGATCACTAGAAATGTCACAGGACCTTATCTGACCTCAGCTATCCATCTGGAAATCTGGCCATTATCCAGGTGCCCAACAAGACAAATGGCTTCACTTGTATTGTCCAAGAAGACGCACCCACCAACCCTGCTATCCTGGCGGTGCTAGACTCCTCTGGGAGAAGCTCCTGCTATCACCCTAATGGAAATGTCTGGTAGGTTTCTCGGGCCCTTGCTGCTATTTTGGTTTTGATTCTGTTTTCTACTCTAGTAAGAATGGCTTTAGAAAGATTTCTCCAAGTTAGCGGTCTTTAGAAAGTAACATAGCTCAGAGACACACAATGCTGGGTTGCTTACTGTCTGAGATACATTCCCAGCTAGTGAGCTTCCTGCAGCCATGCCAGACAATAATATGCAAACCTCTGGGGCCACAAAGCCTGGGAAGGCATTTCCATGTTAGCCTGGGATCCACAGAAGGGAGGAAGGAGGGAACTGACTGCAGGGAGTCATCCTCTGACCTCCCGACTCACGCTGTGGCTCACAGGCAACCCCCACCACACGCACCTCAGGCATACACACATCATAATATAAAGATTTAAATCTCTGTGGAAAGGTCTTGATTCCCTTATAATTTACCAGTATATACACTGTATAAGTTCATATTATTCCATTTAATCTGAAAAAACACTTGGGCTCTAACTTCAAACACAATTTAAGCCTTTCAGAAAGGTGTGTGTGTGTGTGTGTAGACACAGCCTCACTCTGTAACCCTGGCCAGACTGGAATTCCCTCTACAGAGCAGGCTGGCCTTAAATTTGTGACCCTCAGCTTTCTAAGTGCTAGATTAGCTAGATTACAGATGTAAGCCACCATAGTTGGATTTTAAATTATCTGTGGGTATATAATGTCACTTGGGAAACTGCCAACAACTGGCAGACTTTGGACCTTGCTGGCAAAGTTGGGACGCAGTGAAGCGTTTGTATTTCTAGTACACGGTAGCGACCGATCCGCTAACACCATGTACAATGGGAAATCTCTAGTTATCCTTCGAGATTCAAATAGTCAGTCTGGGCTACATTTGGTGTAGTGTTATACAATAACTGTCTCCCAAAGAGACCAGATGATTTCAGGGGCCCCCAACTCTGTGAGCTGAATTCTTGGGTACTCTGACTGGTCCCTGCCATCCCCAAAGCCCCTTCTCCCTGCCTCTGTGAAGTAAGTCTCCTTTCTCTGTAGCCTGAAGTTCCTTGAAGGCGTATCCTGAATCTTTATCCTTACACAGCTAAATATAGATTAAAATTAAGGTATAAGCTCCAAGAATAATCAAAGAACTGATTCAGAGCAGTTCAGTCAAATACTGCTGTGTAAAATCGCCCCTTTCCAGCTCCGGCAGGGCATCCTCCTGGTTTCTCATTTCTTTTGCGGTCAGGTTAGTGTCAGTGATCAGTCAGTGCTGGAGAAACAAGAGGTAAGTTCCCTTATTCCTGGGGCCCTGTGGGCATTGTCAAATCTAGCCAAACCTTTCAGAATACAGACCTCTCCTCACGGTAGGGGTGGTTACCTCCGCTGAAAACGGTGAGAAAGCATGGGAATGAGGTTGCGCAGTAGACCGTCACGGTGATGAGTGCCGCAAAACCTCCCAGCAAGCGGGATATTTGTAACATAGCGGACATGTGGCCTTGGCAGTGCACACGGTTGGAGAAGCCCACCCCATTTGAGCACATCTTTGCTCCGCTGGAGAACTTCTCTCCGTTGCCACGCACTCGGAAGTACCCCTGAACCTCTGCTGTCCATACCCAGACCCCCAAAGCCTCGTACTTAACGGCTGGTGGTGCAGCCCGGTGGGAGAGCTCAAACATATATGGCCAACGCCTCTGCTTCAGCCACCAGCACCCTCTAACCCCCCCCCCCCAAGAAAAGAAATATAAAAGGAAGGGTATTTGACTTTTAGCTATGTCCGCTCTCTTATACAAGGAGTACTCTGGGCATCCCCCAAATTTACACCCGTGGTCTTGCATTCTGGCCTGATGAAAATCTAAGCATTGGTCCTATCTCTCTCAGAAACAGCTTCCCCTCTGTATCCTTTCTTTTCCCAGAGGAAACCTCCAGGTTTCCTTCTCTCTCTCTCTCTCTCTCTCTCTCTCTCTCTCACACACACACACACACACACACACACACACACACGGCCTTTTTATATCAGTTTATAAGTATGCTTCGATTTGAACCCAGTACTCCAAATTGTGTAAAGTGAGTAGCGTCACTAAGTTACCTAGAGACCTCGCCACCCATCTGCCTTGGCTAGGAAGTGGTAGGGATAATTTAGCCTTGAATTACAGAGCTACCATTCGTAGGGCTTTTTCGGTTGTTTTTCTTTTATTTATTTATTTATTTATTTATCTATTTATTTATTTATTTATTTATTGGATTTTTCGAGGCAGGGTTTCTCCGTAGCTTTTGGTTCCTGTCCTGGAACTAGCTCTTGTAGACCAGGCTGGCCTTGAACTCACAGAGATCTGCCTGCCTCTGCCTCCCGAGTGCTCGGAGTAAAAGCATGTGCCACCACCGCCCGGCTTCGGTTGTTTTTCAAACCAAGGTCTTACCCTGTCCTGCCCCAGCCCTCTGTAATTGCGAGTATGAGGCCACCACATGCAGCTCTCCTTTCTATCAGTGACTCTAATTTCCTCCCAGGGTCTACATCAACCTCCTGGGAGGCCAATATTCAGACCAAGCTGGCAACAGAATACGAACTTGGAACTGGTCAAGTTCCATGCCTTCCTCATCCTTTGCTTCATTTAAACCTGTTTTTCTGGCCTTGAACCATCACATTGGAATTCGCATCTTAGAACAAGACAAGGTCTCCATTAATTTTCTAGCAATGGGCCAACAGGCACGAATCAGCGTTGGGACCAAAGTAAGGGTAAGCGCATTAGAATAATAGTTTCAATCATTTAGATTTTAAGAGTAAAATAATTTTGCTAATCTGATTACTGATGGGATAGATGGATGCCTAATGTGTCCACTGAGAGTTCTTGGAATTCACAGTGAAGGTGCCCTGTGTTACTGAAGCAAACCTTACATTTTCTTCTCTCTTAAAATCCCTTTCAGTTCAGACTTAAGTCCCAGCAGCACGAGCCTAGAGCTCGCTGTGTGATGGCAGTCACCTGCCTTGGCCACTTCGTTTTATAGTTTGTGTTTTGAGGTTTCTGTTTCCTCTCTGCTATGGCAGAAAGCTCTAGCCTGGGCCAGGAAACCGGTTCTAATCATGTTGGAGACACCGCTAGACTGCCCAGGTTTTTACCAAGTCGTCATTTTACCACGTTTTACTGAGCTGCCCGTGAACCTGTCCCTCCCCGATACTGGCTGAGCCGGGCTTGCCTCTCTTACCATTATGGCTGCCTTCCCCACCAACAATTAGCTCCGTAAGGATAGAACAGGCTCTCTCCGCGACCTTTATTCTAGTGCTTTGCCCCGACCTGATCAAAGCACAATCCACGTCGGCCATAACTCAGGGATTAAGAAGGTAGACATCCAGTTGCAGCGTGCAGTTGCCCCTTGGTCACGCGAGTGAACTCGAGCTTCAGTTTCTCAGTATAAGCTAAGGAATGAATGAATGGTTCCCGCCTCCTCGCAGTTGCTGGGAGGCGACTGGGAAAATGTAAAAAACCACGCGCGCGCGGCACCTGGCACTGGCTATGCGCTTGAGCAAGCAAAGCCACTTCAGGGTAAACTACTGAGACTCAGGCCTTCATTAAGCTTACCATGGCTGACGCGACAGCAAGGCAGTTCCGTTCCTTCTCCAGAGAAAAATGGTCCCACTGTCCCAGCTCCAATTGGTCCTCCCCCCTTCCCGTCCTGCTCCTGGATACTCAGCTCTGCCCCTCTCTTTCTTTGCCCACAAGTACTACAAACCAGAGGAGCTCCCAGCCCTGCGGTTCGTGAGTGGAGATGACCTTCTGCTGCTGGCCAGCTTAATAAAGATCCGGCGGCTGTTCCACAAGCTGCGAGGATGCGTGACTTTCCCCTCGAGTCAGGCATGGGAAAAAGTAAAGCAACCGACCTACCTTTCTTCGCTCTCTCTAAAACTACTTGCCCTCTGCGATAGTTCTGGCTTACAGAATGGTACAATGGCAACAATTATGAAGCTAATAAATGAGATAGAGTAACGAAGTGTCGTCGCCATAGGGCTTTCTTTTGTTATGGGTCTTTTAAGCAACGCGAAGTTTCAAAGAGTAGACCAAATGAGCAGGAAATATCAAGAAATACGTGACTGTATACATTTGGAACACACTGTGAGCCCTTGCTGGGGTCGATTCTCAGTTGGAACTTTAACTGACTCCCTTCCTCAAGACCAGAAAATAAGCATGGCATTAAGAGATGCGATAATGGGCACCTATTCTACCCGTGAGGGGGTGGGGATCCATGCTTATCTGCCCCCGAAAGGGAAGTCTAGAAGAGGAATAACTCCCAGAAAGCCAGAGTCACCCGTGAGGGGGACAAACAGGAAATCCGGAAGATTCTGCAATATACAAAAGGAAAACCCTGCCACCTGCCAGGTCTGCCTCCCACCAGAGAGAATTATGGCTCCTCCCCTTCCCCTGGTCAACATCAGGCGGAGGAATCAGTACGAACCAGCTAGCTAAGCAAGCGGCACAGCACTGTGCATTTCCCATTTGTTTTGGTGGGGGAGAGGGCAATACTGATCCCTAGGGATAAAATAGCACAGTCCCCTCTGCTCAATCTGGGTGATGAACAGGAGGCCCGTCAGTGAGGACCCTGTCTAGTTACTGGTCTGCTGCTTCAAAGAGATACCATGCCCGGGGCAATTTCTAAAAGGAAGCATTTAATTGAGCATTTATAAGAGGAAGTATTTAATCACAGTGGGGATCGTGGCAGGCAGGCAGGCAGGCAGGCAGGCAGGCAGACACAGGGCTGGAACAGTAGCTGAGAACTGACCTGCAAGGTGCAGGCAGCGTGGGAGTGGAAGACTGGGCCCGGTACGTGTAAGTGTTACAGCTAAGACGGGAACGGTATCCCCGCAGCTGGGAGTCGAGGAAAACCACGAAGTCACACCACACAACAAACTTCACACAAGATTTAAGACCTGGGGAGGGAGGGTGACTGCCTCTGCCTGACAAGAAACAGCAGAAGACACAGCAGAAAACTGAGCAGATGACAGGCTTTATACAGCGTTTCTTGGACGGTGGGGCAGAACTTTCCAGGATGGACTGGGTTTGGAGGGATTATGTGGTCTGAACTTGGGACAAACCCAAGGATTGGAGGAACTCTGTGGCCGGATTTTGAGCTTTTAAAACCTCCAAGCCTACCCCCAGTGATCTCTCCTCCAACAAGGCCACATCTCCTCATTCTTTCTGAACAGTCCACTAACCGAGAAACAAACATTCAAGTATATGAGCCTATGGGGGCCATTCTCATTCAAACCAACACAGACCATAAGACATTCAGGGGACATCAGGATCCCACAGCTGCTGAACATCCTGGGATTTCTCAGCTCTTCAGGAGTGGGAGAGAAGTTTCAGGTAACATTCCTATTTACCAAATTTGGCACCATGTGGCAAAAGGGGAGTTAAGTCTGTCTTTCCCCCACCCCCATTAATAACCATCAAATCAGTTTGTTTTTCTAATAGAACTCAACGGAATCTGTCATGGCTTGAATATTTTCTACATTTTATCCCAGGAAAGGATAGAGTGCTGGGGGTTTTAGAATCTTTAGAGCATAAGGCCTAGCAGGCAGGGCTGTAGGGGTGAGGCTTGTGGGTTCCAGATGGCCCTCCCCAGCTCTCAGCCTCCTGGTTGATGCCCGGTATACTAAGCCCCAGCTCAAGCTGCCACGCCATAAACTCTGTCATGACTTCCCTGATGGACTACAGAAGTGTAAGAACTTCTCCCCATAAGTCACAGGGAGACAGTTTAGTGGTTGTGGGTGACGGTAGCCTGGGTCTTGCTCTTAACCCATTAACTGCTTCCCCCAACCCCAAATATCTGTCGTTGGCTTGCGTTCTGGGGACCTTGTGAGGACTGGGGTTGTATTGTCACTGTTCAGGTCTGTCTTGCTGATTGCCACTGCTTGTCTTTGTGGGAAAAGGACTTCTAAAGTCATGCCTTTTTTTTTTTTTTTTGACCTTTTAATATTTTTAATCATATGACTGTAACTATACAATTTCCACCATTTTTTATTTTTGAGATCATAATATAGTTGAGATATTTCTCCTTTCCCTCCCCTTCCTCCAAACTCTTCCATATGCCTCTCCCCACTCTCCTGCAAATTCGTGGCCTCTTCTTTCAGTAATTGTTGTCGCATGCTGTCGGGGGCAAGCCTCGACAAGATTACCTTTCTTCCAGAGTGGAGGCGTGAGAATTTAGAAATACGGTAAAGAATACAAAGACACAAACAAAAATAATAAAACGCAGAAACATATATAGGATAGTATGGGGAGGGAATTTCAGTGAGTACTGAAAATCCATCCCTGTTTAATTTCCAACAGCTTAATATACCCCTGATTTCAAATGGTAGGAGAACAAAAGGACTGCGTTAGCATACAAATTGAAAGTCGTGGGGTCCATTCACTGCTCACGCCCTTGACTCACGCCCTAGACCAAACACTGTGTGGGCAAACCACTCCCTGGCTGGAACCCCAAGTCATTTCCATAAAAGGGAACTAGAATCTAGTTGGATCCTTAGACTTTGTTTTAGGTAGAAACCAACTACTTCCCTATTTCAGGAGCACGAGGTCTGGCAACTAACCAGCCACGTGTTGACAACAGCTTTGAGAGAGCAGAACTCTGGTCACATCTAAGTGGGACCTCTGTTTGAGTTAGAAGCACAATAATCTCGAACTAAAAACAAGTCCCGAACTCTCTGACCTTTGGCCTCTTTGGGCCTCCACAGTATGCATATATGTACATACACATATATTCCTAAATATAACTGTTCAGTCCATATCAGATGCCTTGTATGTATGTTTTCAAAGCCGACCATTGGGACTGGACAATATTTTGCATCAAACCATTTACAAGATTTTCAAAAGCAATACAATGTTTCAAAAAAAAGTTTACATATATGCCAAAATTGCAGGTTACAGTGAAGTTTTAGCTCTAAAATATCTCCAGAGGGGCTGGAGACGTGGCTCATCAGGTCAGGGTCTGTTGTGGAAGATTCTTTCTGTCCACCGTGAAGATGTGACACAGACTGGTTCAATAAGAAGCTGAGCAGCCAGCAGCAAGGCAGGATTTCCAGGCAGGGAGGATGCTGGGGAGAAGGCAGAGATGCCAGGAGATGCAGAGCAAGCAGGTTGGGCAGTATGGAGATAGGGAAATAAGGCCACAGGGCAGAAAGAAAATAAACAGAAATTGGTTAATTTAAGTTATGAGATAGTTAGAAATAAGCTTAAACTAGGGCCAAGCTTCTATAATTAATATAAGTCTCCATGTCATTTTTTTTGTGAGCTGGTGGCCCCCCAAAATGCCTGACTATAGAGTGCAGATTGCTCTTGCAGAAGAAGACTTGGGTTCAGTTCCCAGCACCCATATCAATCAGGTGGTTCACAACCACCTATAACTCCAGTCCCAGGAGATCCAACACACTCTGGCCTCAGTGGGCACCTTCATTTGGGATACATAAACTCACACACACACATAAATAAAAAAATCATTAAAAATATTTTTCAAAAATAACCTTCTGGAAAATAAACATTAAGCCAGTTTCAAGATAGGATTAGAAATATAAGATTTAATAAAATGTAAAGGCAAATATAGATTCACCAGTTACATTTTAAAGTCGACGTTTTTCTCTGAAGGAGTGAAACTTAGTTTTCTGGGGCTGGCAAAAGGGGGAACACACACCCCTTCAACACGTCGGGGTCTCTCTTCTTTACTCTTTCCCTTTCACGTTTCTCTAGTGTTTTCCTTCCACACTACGTCTTTCCTGGTGTCTTCCTCCTAACTCTCTTTATTTTTCCCTTACAGCTTATGTGACCCAGCAAAATCTTTCAAGCAATATAAAAACGACAATGTGGTTCCATCCTATGTTTTAAGTGAATGATTACAATGACTACAAGTAAGAAGCAGTGTGTTTCTCATGTCTCTTATATGATCGAACATTTTACTTATTACAAGTGAAAAGCAAACCATTCCCAAGGACTCGCATATATCCATGTCCAAGCAACCTGTTATAGATTAACAGAGTGTAAGCAAGCAAGGTAATTTTCTCAGTCAGTTCCTTTACTGGCAGGCTGCATTTTGTGGTTACAAAGAAACCATCAATCATTTTATTATTTATCTCAAAAGGTAATGATCTCAAAAGATAATCTTATAAAAAATGTTAAAAGAACCACAAATCTAAACTTCTATATATGAAAAACAATGCCATCAATACTCTAAATCCTCAGGGTGAGTGCGCACTCATCAACAGTTTTTTATTAAATCATATCAGGAAGCTGAGGGCAGAAATGGGTACAAGAAATTAATCATCACCTTTGGTCACCAACCCATCCTAGCAAGAAAGGCCTGACAGCCAGTAATAACTGGCTGTCTCTGTTCTTGTTCCCAGACCTCGACGAGTCCTTTGATCAACTACTGAAAGTGTGTCTGTCTAAATTTTCTACATCAAAGCCATTAGCAAAAACACCTTAGCCTAATTTTACTAACAGTCTGCATCTCTAAATTCTAAGGATGGTAGTTGAGTCACTAATCTGCCCTAGCGGCAATGCCTGGAAAAAATCAGTCACTATTATTGTTAAGTACCAGTAACAGCTGTCCAGTGGGGCATATAGCCCCTGCCAAAACAAAAACAAAGACCTAATCCATTCAAGTCTATAGTCCCTAAATTTACTAACCCTGCTTCTGTCTTCTGTAGTTCCGCTTCTGGCTCACTGTTCTTGTTAACGAAGTGTGTCAACCCAGGACATAGCTTTATGCTAAAAAAACTCACCCTGACAAAGGCCAGGGGCGGCAAAGGCCTGGAGCTGCACTGGGATCCTGAACACTCTTTTAGTTATAGCTACGTGTCACATGGTCAAACTCCAACTCTGGGGCTATTGTGGGGTATTCACCAGAGAAGACTGCTCGGACACGGGCTTAAGGCAGCAGAAGAAAGTGACCACGAGGGACCACAGAGCAGCGCTTCCCTAGCTGCTGGCTGAAGACT